AAAAAAAAAAAGACAAGGAGAAACGGTACATTGTAGCCCGAGTAAGAACAATAGAACGGACATTCTCCATCATATGTTCCTCTGTATGTTTTAGCAAACTGGAAGACCTGCAAAATGAATCGTGTACATAGTGGCAGTTTTTTCTGTTATTAGTCATAAAAAAATAAAATAAAATAAAATCGACAAGAAAAAATGGTGCAATACACGAGAGCCAAAAAAAAAAGTACCGATTTTGCCCTGTTGAGGAGCCTTCGTGAATAAGCATGATCGGCGTGCCTAAAGGCGATAGAAGCAGCCGCCAATGCAGCAGCAGTCTCGGCTGCAATCTCTGTCCCAGGGGTATTTCGGTCAATCTTCAGCACGGTCCTCGGCGTTTTCATGTTCTCCGGCCTCACCCAACACTCGTGATCTTTCTCGGGATCTCCTACCTCAACCACAAATCAATCGCAATTCTATCAGCTTAATTGTTTTTGGTTTATTTCTTTTTTGCCCCCTAAGGTTTAATTTAATCACCAAAAAATCCCGACATAATCGTTGAAACTACAAAACTCCGTAGCAAATTTGTACCTGCACGAACAAGCAATTGCGTTTGGCGCTAGCTTTTAGAAGATAGTCAGTGCCCCAACGAATCGCATCAAGAGCATTTTGAAGTTCGCCGGCCGATTGAATCTCGTGTTGGTAGAAAATGGTGGCCCAAGCCAAGGTTGTAACCGTAAAAGCCATGGGGAGGCCGTATTTCACGTTGTCACCCGCATCGTAATAGCCTCCCACAAGGTCCACCTGCAAAAAAAATGTCATATTATGTTATCATATATATGTTCTTTCTAGACTAAAATAAAAATCAATATATGTATATACAGTTATTTATATGATTAAATGAAATTACATTTTCAAGTTTGCCATCTTCGAGAGCAGAATCTCCTCTCCAAGAGGGCCGGTGGTTGGGAGGTAGCTTCCCGGACCTTTGGGCGTCCAAGAAAATAATCGACTTTGTGAGGGCTTCCTTGTAATTAAAATCGGCACGTACAACTCGGAAAAGGCCGCCGGAGAGAAAAAGCCATGCTATGATAAATGCATATGTTTTCGGACAATTTCCACATATTGCCATTTTTGTGTGTGTGTGTTTTGTGTTTGTGTGTAAAAGAAAAAAAATAAATAAAATGGGGGAGGTTATGTTTGAAGAAGGAAAGATAGATGATGGTAGGCTTTTGTTGGTGATTTGGCGGGAACTCAGAAGAAAAGTTTGTTATTGGCAGTTGAGAATCAAAGGACTACTTAGTTTCATGCCTAGAGATAAATTTGGGGGGTCAGCCATTAGACTTGCTTAATTTTTAGTAATCATTTGTACAAAATAAAAAAAAAAATAAAAAAATCTTTAGAATGCTTATAATTTTAGAAAATATGTATATATTTATTTATTTATTTTGAATTGCCAAATTGTTTGTAATCACACCATCTTTATGAAATCATTTGATCCTTTATCTTATGAAATCATTTGATTCTTTATCTACTGATTGGACTTGAATATAAAAACTTGGCGGATTTGGCGATTTGATCCTCGAACTTGGTCATAAGTTTGACTAATTTGGGGCCTAATGACTTATTCATCAATAAAAAATAGTAGCACTTGATTTGATGAGAAAGTGCTTCCTCTGGATGTAGCACTCAGAACAACTCGATCGAACCGTCAGAAGTGTTAATCTTAGTACTGAACTGTTCAAGAGAGCTCCATCTGTTTCTTTGGCCTCGAATGATCAAGTACAGACCTCAGATGGTCTGAGGGACAGGGACCAAAGGGACACGTAGCCCAGGCGTGGATAGACCTCCGACCTCGAGTAAAGAAGAGATCCCATAAGGTCAAAACCAGGAAGTACCTCAGCATACCTAGGTCGGATGACGATCTCGGCACAGCTGGGTCGAAACTCGACCTCGACATACTTAGGTCAGGGGGTGGATCTTGACATGAGACAGGAATGTACTGAAGTCAAGTGTGATCTGGAGACCTAGAAGTCACACAACTAGCACAACTAGAATTCCTTATGGATGAGAAGTTTATATCCACAACGTCACTAAAAGGTACGAGTAGATTTAGTTAGTTACGAAACAAGATACGGAAGGACTTCTTACTATAGCAGAAGTCTCTTGGTCACCAGACAACCTTAATTATAAAAAAGGTATTCAGTTTTTATTTACACAACACACATACATATAAACTCATATACAACTACTATTATTATTTGCTGTGCACGGACTGACTTGAGCATCATAACCTTTTTTGACGGGACACTCTTCTTGGCATTCTACAGGTCATCAGAGACGACAAACGGTCCGAGCTTGTGGATTGCAGTACAAACTTGGTCTTGAGACAATTTGCGTACAAAGACACAATTATAAATATGGTTATAAATATGTTCTCGCGTCGGCATTTCTAAACTATAGAGTGAGCCAGAAGCTTGTTAATTTACATTAGGTCATTAGGTTTTTTACATTATAAAGCCTATGGATAAGGATTGACACCGATAAATAAAGAACAAACTTTTCTGACTTTTCGCCTCAACACATTATCACCGTATTCTATATTTTTTTTTATTTATTTTTTATTTTTTATTTTTTATTTTTTTTTTGGTGTTGCCTACAAAAAATAGTAATTTTCTACAAAATGTTCGATATCAACAAAATAGAATACGCAAATTACGAGCTCGCAATCGTGTATGTGTGGAAAATAACCAATAAAAGTACAAATGGAAGCATATAAACTACAAGTCAAAGTTGTTCATCTTGCAGTTTACAAAGATTTAATTTCAAACAACATACCAAAAAAAAAAAAAAAAAAA